AGAGCGGAGAACAAGGTGAAACAGCCCGTCCGCACGGTAACGAGACCGACGAGGCTCTGGAGACACAGCACGACTGAGGGGAGAACGACGAGTCCACAGAGACGAGGAAAGGGACCCGATTGGGGGAGCAGGAGGGGACGGTAGAGGACCACGAACCAAGCGTGCATGTGCAGGGTCAGGCAAGTCGCGCAGTCGATGCTGCTCCGCCTCCCCTGGCGTCCGCTGCGACGGCACCTGCCCCTGCTGGTGCTCCTGTGGCTCCTCCCCTGCCCTCTCCTGCTGCGGCCGTGACTCCTCCTCTACTCTCTCCTGCTGTGTCTGCAACTGCTCCTGCAGCTGCGGGCGGGACTCCTGCTCTACCCTCTCCTGCCGTGGCCATGACTCCTCCTCTACTCTCTCCTGCTGCGACTACAACTGCACCTGCTGCTGCACTCGTGACTCCTCCTCTACTCTCTCCTGCTCCGGCTGCAACTGCACCTGCTGCTGCAGTCGTGACCCCTCCTCTGCTCTCTCCTGCCGTGGCTGTGGCTCCTCCTCTACCCTCTCCTGACGTTGCGACTGCGACTGCTCCTGCTCCTGCTCCTGCTGCTGCTGCTGCTGCTGCTGCTGCTGCTGCTGCTGCTGCCGTGCCCTCTCAAACCGCTCACGCTCCTCCCTCTCCAACTGGAGGAGACGCTGCTCACGGGTCAGGAAACGTACAGTGCGCGTTGTAGGCGCCACAGTGCCAGTGCCTCCAGCTCCAGCACCCCCAGAACCAACACTTCCACCATCGACACCTCCTCTGCCTCCAGTACCACCCGCAGGAACACCCCCTGGCTCCGCAGCAACCGGCAGCAGAGAAGAACGAGGAGGGAACTGCGGGACGGACGGGAAGCCCGGGGGTGACGCGGGGCGAGGCCGCCGCCTCGAGCAGAGAAGAACGAGGAGGGAACTGCGGGACGGACGGGAAGCCCGGGGGTGACGCGGGGCGAGGCCGCCGCCTCGAGGCCGCCGTGTCCTCCACGGGAGTGACCTCCACGCCCACACCCCCAGCACCCCCCAGAGCCGTCAGGGACTGGACGCTGCGGGGGAGATGACTGTGGAGTGACGTGCGACACACCTGACAAGGCAGGACGCAAAGGGGGGGGGGGGGGGCTATCGGGGCGATTGGGGGGGGCTCTAGGGTGAGGAACACCGGGGGGGAAAAGACCTCAGTACCTCGGTGGGGGCGACTCCTGTAGTAACATACAGACTCGTCGAACATGACGTCCTGAGAAGCGAAGAACTGGTAGGTGACCGGGTCGTAGAATACCCAGCCGGAAGCGTCCAAAGGGAAACCAAGAAAGACGCAGGCACGAATGCGCGGAGACAACTTTTTCGCGCCAGGGGTGCGAACGTGAGCCAAAGAACCCTAGACGCGGAAGTCAGCTGATACGCCCGGAGAACCTGTCCAAAGGGAGACTGGCGTCACTCGTGGCCGTGCGTCACTGGGCCACAGGTTCAGCTTGTGCGCGGCGTAGCGGACTGCCTTTGGCCACCCCGTGACCAGGCCGATTCGTCACTCGGCTACCCCGTTCTGCTGCGGCGAGTCTGGTAACGTGTAAGACTTGATGATCCCCCGACCTTGACAAAACGTCCCCAAGCGATTGGAAGAAAACTCACCACCACGGTCCGAGTGTAGGCAGAGCCCACACAGGCCCTGGGCTCCACCCCTCGCTAGTAGCCATGGCTCGAGGACGGTAGGCACGTCGGCCTTCCGTCGCAAAGGGAAAAAACGTGGTGTAGCAGGAGTAGTCGTCCACCACAATCAGGAAGTAGCGCTCCTGATGTGGGGCAAGGACCAGGGAGGGGCCTCAGACGTCCAAGTGCAGGGTCTGGAAGGGAGCCGTGGTGGGTGGGGACGAGGAGGAGTGAGGGGCAGCGCGCTGCCGACCCTCGACGCAAGGAGTGAACGGTGGCGCAGGCAGGCGAACGAGGAAGCGGGGCAAGCAACTGTGGGAGACCTGAGACCAGACGGTGACGTACCATCCTACTGAGACGTGGGAACGACGGGTGACCTAGACAGTGGTGCCAGAGGACTGACAGGTGGGTGAGGGACCGACAGTCGCACGACACAGCAGCTACCTGACCTGACCTGACCCTGTGTGGTGGGACCCAGTGTGTAGTAGTACAGACCAGAGCCCGGCTCCCTGTGGAAAGTGGCTAGAGGCGCCCCAGTGGCACCAACTATGCAGGAGGCAACAGGCTCGTCCAGTGGGAAAGCAGTGACTACACCTAGGTCGTGGAGGTGACCGACACCCACCAGGTTCCTGGAGAACGAGGGGGTGTAGTAACCTGTGAGATATCCAAAAGGAGCCGCCGGACACGGGAGAGTGGTGTTGTTGTGGGCAACTACAGGTCCCACGGAGGGGTCCGTACCTAGCCCGCGCCCGGGAGGTATCACGCCCGCGCCTGGCCCTGTACCTAGCCCGCGCCCGGCCTGTACCTAGCCCGCGCCCGTCCCGTACTAAGCCCGCGCCTGGCCCCGTCCCTCGCCTAGCGCCCGGCCCAATCTCTCGCCCGCGCCCGGCCCTGTACCTAGCCCGCGCCCGGCCCGTACCTAGCCCGCGCCTGGCCCCGTCGACCCCTAGCCCACGCGCCTCGGCCCGTCGACCCCTAGCCCGCGCCCCCGGCCCCGTCGACCCCTAGCCCCGTGCCCCGCCCCGTTTACCCCTAGCCCCGCGCTCGGCCCCGTCAAACCCTAGCCCGAGCAACCGGCCCGTCGACCTTAGGCCCCGGCGGCCCGTTGCCCCTAGGCCCCCGGCCCCTCGGCCCCTGCTACTGCTACTGCTGCTGCTGCTACTGCTGCTACTGCTACTGCTGCTACTGCTGCTGCTACTACTGCTGCAACTGCTACTGCTGCTAGTGCTGCTACTGCTACTGCTGCTACTGCTGCTACTGCTGCTGCTACTGCTGCTCCTACGTGCTGCGCCACTATGGCTTCGCTTCGAGATCTCGCGTTCGATCATGGGGGCAGACCGATTCAGTTTGACACGTGGCTCGATGACCTGCAGCTGTACCTCCTTAGCGACTCTAAGGACCATGTTTCACTGTTTGACCTAGCGACAGGCGCCGCTACCGCCCCTCCAGCCACAGCTGACAGAGCGACTCGCTCACAGTGGCTTACTCGCGACGCTGCTGCCCGCTTAGCCATTTGCAACCACCTGCCGTTAGCCGAATGCGCTCATTTTGGACAGCACAAGACAGCATAGGCCCTGTACGACGCTGTAGTCGCTCACTACTCCTCGCCTGCCACTGCTGCTCTAGGCCGACTGCTCCTGCCTTACTTGTTCCGCGAGCTGTCCTCCTTTGCCACAGTAGAGGACCTTGTTTCCCACCTGCGCACTAGCGACGCTCGCTACCGTGCTACCGCCCTTGCTGAGTTCCTTGACAGGAACCAGCCCCCGATGTTCATCACCCTCTACTTCATAGTCACTCGCCTCCCTGACTCTCTTCGCTCTGTCAGAGACCACTTTCTCTCCCTTGACCCCACCTCCCTCACTGTTGACCTACTCGAGCAGCACCTCCTCGCAGCTGAGACTAGTGCAGTTGCTGTAGGTGCTGCTCGTGGCACTCCGCGCCCGCCCTTCTTTGAGGGGTGCTCCCCCTCCCCCCTTGCCCCCTCCTACGCCTCTGCTGCTGCCGCAGACGTCCCTGTTGCTGAGGACGTCGGGGCTGCTTCTGCTAGCGCGAAGCGCCGCAGCAGCAAGGGCGGGGGTGGTGGAGGTGGCAGCAGTGGACGTGGTGGAGGCAGTGGAGGTGGTGGCAGTGGTGGGACTGGTGGCGGGGGTGGGGACTCCGGTGTCGGCGGTGGAGGCAGCAGTGGGAGTGGCGGCAGTGGCGGCGGTGGGACTGGTGGCGGCAGGACTGGAGCTCGGCGTGGAGGTTCTGGAGGTGGCCAGTGGCAGCAGCAGCAGCAGCGTCGGAGCGAGACCCAGTCGCCCCAGCAGCTTCGTGAGTGGTTGTTTCAGCGTGGGACGTCTGGGGGTACTGATAGCTGCCCGTATGTCATTCGCACGGGTGAACGTGCTGGTCAGACATGCGGGAGGCTTCACACTCAGAACCGCTGCTTCTCCCGCCTCGACGACGCTTGGTGTACTGAGTTTGGTGACGAGCTCGAGCGCCCTCGCTGGGCAGATCTACTTAGGTCTGGAGTTGCTATCTTTGACCTAGACTTTGATGTCATCATCAGTGCTATGTATGCATTGTCTGTTAGTGCTGAGGGTGACTGTTACCGGTGTGTGCCACCAGACCCAGGTATAGCGGCTGCTGCTCTAGGTGCTAGTGACTCTGGTACTCTCCCTGGTACTGCGCCTGCTGAGGCCTTGCACACCTTCACGCTAGACTCAGGTGCCTCACAGTGTTTCTTTCGTGACAGCACCACTCTCACTCCTCTCTCTGCACATGTCCCGGTCAGACTGGCTGACCCCTCTGGGGGCCCAGCCGTTGCCCTTTCCTCCACTGTTCTCTCGTGTCCGGCGGTTCCGTCCGGCTCTCTGTCAGGTCTTCACCTCCCCTCGTTCTCTACGAGCTTGGTGAGTATAGCTGCCCTCCAGGATTTGATGGTCACTACCACCACTCCTTGGGGTCAGTGTGTGTCGATCTGCACGTGTATACGGACGGGCCGTCACCTAGCCACGTTCACTCGTCGGCCAGGGTCGAGTCTGTACACACTGGCTACTGAGCCTCCTCATGTAGCTACGTCTGCCCAGGTGCCCGCATCAGGGTAGGTAGCACCCCCTTGCTCGTGTCGCCTCCTGCCGCATCAGACTCTTCTTTGGCACCACCGCCTTGGTCACCCCTCCCTGCCACGCCTACGTGGCATGCACACCCGCCTCCTTGTCTCTGGTCTTCCCAGGTCTCTGCCTCCCCTCCCGCCCTCGCCTGCTCCGCCCTGCCTTCCCTGCGTCGAGGGGCAGCAGCGCGCCGCTCCTCACTCCTCCTTGTTTCCCCTGACGGCTGCTCCCCTGCAGACTCTACACATGGTGCACGAGCTGCCAGCAGTGTTCAACTGGGCGCACCAACCCAGCAGCAACTTCTACCACTTCCTCGTGGAGCTCGTTCCTCTCTTCCTCGTCTCCGCGCCTCTCATGGCCTCCACTTTGCAACACGTGCCGGTGCTCGTGAGACACACACAGGTGGGTTTTGAGTCGAGTCAAGCAGCGCATGGCATGCATGCCTTACAGTTTCGAAAGATCACAAAACGTGATTCAAACACCGACTTCCAGGGGTGGTCAGGTGGGGTTTGATACAAACACCTGCTTTCCAGGGACGGCCGTTTCATAATTCATTCAAGCACCTGCATTTGTGAAAGTTGTTCGCGCTGCAATACCTGCCACTGCTCCCTAGGGCTTGCTAGGCTTCCCTTGCCTCCCATGTCATTGTCTTGCCTCCCGTGTCATTCTCTTGCCTCCCGTGTCATTCCATTGCCTGCCGTGGCAACCATGCCTCTCCCTGCAGGTGCGTTGGTACGAGCAGGTGGGTTCTCCCCTCATCGGCATCCAGGCGGATCAGATTCGTCTGCTGCCCACATTCGACAACGATCTCTTTCACGCCGATGTGGTGTACCAGGTAGGCCATGCATGGCATGGCATGGCATGGCATGGCATGCAGACGTGGTGTCCCATCCCATGTAGACTTTATCCTCACGCGCCCTACCATGCTATTGCATGCCATGCCATCTCATCCCATGGCATGCCATTCCCTGCTGTATCCCACCATGCCATCTCATATCACACCTTGACATGACTTCCGACCATACCATCTCCCCTCTTCACTCTTCCCCCACTCTCACTCCCTCCCCCGCTCCCCCACCTCCCCCATCCCCCAGCCCATATACCAAGACTGTGACCGTCCCAGCAGGCCTCTCTGGCGGTTGCTGCGCCGGCGCCATCTGCTGCACCCCTCCGGCCTCCCTCTCTTCAACCCCGACTGGACCTACCGCAGCCACCCCCCTCTCTCCCTTGCTGAAGCGCGCTCCTTCCCCCCTGAATGGGTGGTGGTGTTGGCCAAGCGCCCGGAGGGGCATCGACGGTCGATCCTGAATTTCCGGGAGGTGGAGGAGGAGGTGGTGCGGCGGTTTGGGAGTGAGAGGGTGGTGATGTTTAACGGGTCGCTGCCGATTCTGCAAGGTGAGGGTGTGTGGATGTCTGGGCGTGAGAGAGGTGATTTTGGATGGGTAGCTGTTGATTTTGCAAGGTGAGGAGGCGCGTGCGAGGGATTTACTTGTGAGACTTCTCAAAACCGAAGCGGCCAGAAGGGAAGCCACGGGCGCTGGTGAATTTCCGAGAGGTGGAGGCAGAGGTGGTGAGGCGGTTTGGCCGAGAGCAAGTGGTAGTGTTTAACGAGTCGCTGCCGCTTCTGCAAGGTGGGTTGAGCAAAGGGACCAAATCTGCTGATTGCAAACTCATTCTCCTTTTGTTTGTGCATTGGTGCGTTGCATCCGTGCATGTGTTTCTTTGGTGGGTGCCTCTTGCCGCTCGTATTCTGTTTCGTGTCTTGGGAGGGATTTCACCCGATTTCGTTTCGCCATGTACGAGATGTCGTGTCTAGAATCCTCCGTGTCTAGAATCCTCCGTGTCTAGAATCTTCCGTGTCTAGAATCCTCCGTGTCTAGAATCTTTCGTGTCTAGAATCCTCCGTGTCTAGAATCTTCCGTGTCTAGAATCATCCGTGCCTCGAATTCTCCGTGCCTGGAAATCCCTGTGCCCAGAATCCTCTGTTCCTGGAATTCTCCATGCGTAGAATTCTACTTGCCAAATTTACAGCAAGTGTCGCGACACTCTCTTCCAGCTCCCGAGCTCTCTCTTTGATCGAGATTTTACATAGCGAGCTGTGGACCCGCACTCACCAACATGATTCTCATCCCTATTGCCTATCCGCTTTCCCTTCCACCCCCCCTCCCCGCCTTCCAACCCTTCCCCCTCCTCACCCTCCTCAGCCCGTGCTCTCTTTTCACGAGCACGTTTCTACATAGCAGCCCACGGAGCGGCCCTCACCAACATGATCTTCATGCCAGAGCAAAGCTCGGTGCTTGAGATCCGCCCTGAGGGCTGCAATATTATTGTCTTCAACACACTCGCCTCTGCCTGCGCCCTGCGGTACCACCTGGTGCTCACCAAGGGTGATTGGGACTCCCCTATTGTGGCGAATATGACGAGCGTGTCTCGGGTGCTTGATTCAGTCCAGGCACGAATGCGGAAGGAGGATGATGGAGATGTGCGGTTGCAGTGACCATGTCCTGTAAGAGCAAGCAGAAAGCTAGCCGTAAGTGCCCAATTAGTTGACCCGAGCCGAGGGTTTTATCAGATAATGGAAATTTATTTATAAAAAGTTCTCATCACCAGGTTAAAAATATAAGACCCCGGGTCTAAACCCATGCACATAGAGTTATACCGCCATCCCCTGGATATACCCCCAGGTGGGCTTATAAAAAAACAAGGGAAAATGGTGGGTGGGCTTATAATGTGGAAATTTTTATAAGCCCATTGGCGAAATAAATGATTATGAAGATTTTGATTTAGGGACATGAAAATGTAGAGCTTCGCCTGGCGGTTTCATTAGCGAAGAGAACACAAAGGGTCATCTCGAGAAAGTTAGAGAAACAAGGCACGATGCACGAAATCTGCGCCAATGCATCGGTAGGGTGGCCCACGTTTGGCCAATCGGCTTTCCCTGCGGCGCATGCTGAGGCCAGCGGGGGTGGGAATGAGGTGTGCAGCGGCACCGACGTCCCGGTTAAAAGAATCCCTGCCAACAAGGCAGGGTTTCTTGTAACGCGGTCGAATAGGAAAGGAATGCAGTACATTCCCTTCCTACAATGCCTCCCGTTTTGACACCTGGATCCTCTGCGAAGACCAATTGGATGCCCCTCCGTTTATCGATGAGGAACCCGGGGCGCCTTGTGGCAGGGGTTTTAGATGTTAAGAGTAGGAACTCCGAGGGCTTTGGACTTAGGTTTAGGAGAGGCTTAGTAAGGAGAATCATGGAGAGGGAAATTTGGCCAAAGATTTTTGGGAAATTTGGACACGCAAACAAGTGTCAAAACATATTTGTATGTTCTTAGTTCTGCTAGGCTACAGTGAGGTGCTCAGTATAGGGTACAACCCCAGTTAGGGTTTCATACTTGTATCTCTCTGTTGCTAGTCATTCATCATACCTGTCTTCCTATTTTAACATGGTTTCAGAGCATGATCGTTCCTAGGGCCCACCGAACGTTCCGCCCTGCCCTGCCCGTATTTTTTTTCGGCCCTGCCCTTAGGCCCGCGCGCAGCCCTGCGCTGCAGCCCGTGCGCTGCGCTACCCTGCCCTCAGGCGCGCGCTGCGCTGCCCTGCCCTTAGGCCCGTGCGCCGCCCTGCCCTGCAGTCGCGCTTGCCTCTGCAGCCCGCGCTCGCCCCTGCAGCCCGCGCTCGCCCCTGCAGCCCGCACTCGCCCCTGCAGCCACGCTCGCCCCTGCAGCCTGCGCTCGCCCCTGCAGCCCGCGCTCGCCCCTGCTGCCCGCGCTCGCCCCTGCAGCCCGCGCTCGCCCCTGCAGCCGCGCTCGCCCCTGCAGCCGCGCTCGCCCCTGCAACCTGCACTCGCCCCTGCATCCGCGCTCGCCTCTGCAGCCCGCGCTCGCCTCTGCAGCCCGCGCTCGCCCCTGCAGCCGCGCTCGCCCCTGCAGCCTGCGCTAGCCCTTGCAACCCGTGCTCGCCCCTGCAGCCGTGCTCGCCCCTACAGGCCGCGCTCGCCCCTGCAGCCGCGCTCGCCCCTGCAGCCCGCGCTCGCCCCTGCAGCCGCGCTCGCCCCTGCAGCCGCGCTCGCCCCTGCAGCCCGCGCTCGCCCCTGCAGCCCGCGCTCGCCCCTGCAGCCCGCACTCGCCCCTGCAGCCACGCTCGCCCCTGCAGCCTGCGCTCGCCCCTGCAGCCCGCGCTCGCCCCTGCTGCCCGCGCTCGCCCCTGCAGCCCGCGCTCGCCCCTGCAGCCGCGCTCGCCCCTGCAGCCCGCACTCGCCCCTGCATCCGCACTCGCCTCTGCAGCCCGCGCTCGCCCCTGCAGCCGCGCTCGCCCCTGCAGCCTGCGCTAGCCCCTGCAACCCGTGCTCGCCCCTGCAGCCGTGCTCGCCCCTGCAGCCCGCACTCGCCCCTGCAGCCCGCGCTCGCCCCTGCAGCCGCGCTCGCCCCTGCAGCCCGCGCTCGCCTCTGCAGCCCGCGCTCGCCCCTGCAACCGCGCTCGCCCCTGCAGCCTGCGCTAGCCTCTGCAGCCCGCGCTCACCCCTGCAGCCGCGCTCGCCCCTGCTGCCCGCGCTCGCCCCTGCAGCCGCGCTCGCCCCTGCAGCCTGCGCTCGCCCCTGCAGCCTGCGCTCGCCCCTGCTGCCCGCGCTCGCCCCTGCAGCCCGCGCTCGCCCCTGCAACCGCGCTCGCATCTGCAGCCCGCGCTCGCCCCTGCAGCCACGCTCGCCCCTGCAGCCGCGCTCGCCCCTGCAGCCCGCGCTCGCCCCTGCAGCCGCGCTAGCCCCTACAGCCCGCGCTCGCCCCTGCAGCCGCGCTCGCCCCTGCAGCCCGCGCTCGCCCCTGCAGCCCGTGCTCGCCCCTGCAGCCCGCGCTCGCCCCTGCAGCCGCGCTCGCCCCTGCAGCCCGCGCTCGCCTCTGCAGCCCGCGCTCGCCCCTGCAACCGCGCTCGCCCCTGCAGCCTGCACTAGCCTCTGCAGCCCGCGCTCGCCCCTGCAGCCGCGTTCGCCCCTGCTGCCCGCGCTCGCCCCTGCAGCCCGCACTCGCCCCTGCATCCGCGCTCGCCTTTGCTGCCCGCGCTCGCCCCTGCAGCCGCGCTCGCCCCTGCAGCCTGCGCTAGCCCCTGCAACCCGTGCTCGCCCCTGCAGCCGTGCTCGCCCCTACAGCCCGTGCTCGCCCCTGCAGCCGTGCTCGCCCCTGCAGCCCGCGCTCGCCCCTGCTGCCCGCGCTCGCCCCTGCAGCCCGCGCTCCAGCAGCGCCAGCAGCACCGCCAGCAGCAGCAGCACCTCCAGCAGCTCCAGCAGCACCAGCACCAGCAGCACCTCCAGCAGCGCCAGCAGCACCGCCAGCAGCAGCAGCACCTCCAGCAGCTCCAGTACCAGCAGCAGCTCCAGCTCCAGGGTCCGCGACACTAGGAGCGCCACTCCGGAGACTGCAGCGACGAGCGTACCACTCTCGGAGCTGCTGGGGAGAGGGCAGCTCCCGCCTAGGAGGGGAAGTACGAGAACCAGCTCCAGCAGCACCCCAAGCTCCAGAAGCACCTCTCCGGAGGCTGCAGTACTGTAAGTACCACTCACGCAGCTGCTGTGAGGAGAGAGCGCCTCCAGACGTAGCACTCCCAGGCTCAGCACCCCCAGACTCAGCACCCCCAGACTCAGCACCCGCAGGCTCCGCACCCCCAGGCTCAGCACCCCCAGACTCCGCAACCCCAGGCTCCGCACCCCCAGGCTCCGCACCCCCAGGCTCCGCACGCTCAGGCTCAGCACCCCTAGCAGGACGAGAGTCGACAGCTACCTCGACAGGCTCAACCGGGTCTACCTGGGACACACCTGAGGGAGCGGCACCCTGAGGGGGGAGGGGGTCTACCACAGCAGCACCTGGCGCGAGGAAGAGAGGCAGGGGAGGGAGCGGGGCAGTGCGGTAGGGGAAGAGGCGGTAGTAGGGCACCGACTCGTCAAACGTGACGTCCTGAGAGGGCAGGACACGGCGCGAGGTGGCGTGGTAAAACTGCCAACCAGACGCGTCCGGGACAAAGCCAAGGAAGACACAAGGAACAGCGCGGGAGGAGATCTTGTCCGCGGACGTATCGCGAACAAAAGCTCGAGATCCCCAGACCCGAAAACGCGACGCATCGCCACGGGGCCAGAGGTTGAGCTGATGCGCAGCGTATCGGACCGCAAACGGCCACAGAAAGTGGGGGGCAGCCGCATGGATCAAGGAGGTACGAGCGACCTCCATGACCAAGCCAATGCGGCGCTCAGCAACCCCATTCTGCTGTGGAGAGGCCGGAAGCGTGAACGACTGGCGGATGCCGTGCTCCGCACATTAGGCTGCCAAGAGGTCGGAGGAGAACTCACCACCTCTGTCAGAGTGCAGACGCAGGACAGGAAAGTCCGAGTGGAACCGCTCGCTGAGCTGGAGACGAGAAGCGCGGATCCAAGGGATCAAAACATCAGGGACCTCACCCTTGGTGCGCAAGGGGAAGACCGTGGTGTAGCGCGAGTAGTCGTCAACAACGATCAGGAAGTACCTCTCCTGACCCTGTCCACGGACGCGGGCTGGGCCCCACACGTCCATGTGGAGTGTCTGCAAGGGAGCAGTCGTCGGGGGAAACGAGGAGGAGTGAGGAGCGGCGCGCTGCCGCCCCTCGACACAGGGAAGACAGGGAGGAGCAGGCGAGGGTGGGAGGGGAGGGAGAACCCTGGGAAGACCAGAGACAAGGTACCGTTTGTGCATGCCACGAAGGCGCTGCACTGACGGGTGACCAAGGCGGTGGTGCCAGAGGACGGTCTCGTGCGCTAGAGAGCGACACGAGCAGGGAGCCGACAGCTGACCTGACGCAGACGCAGACGCAGCTACCTGAGGGGACTCAGTGGTCAATGTGTACAGGTCCGACCCCGGCTGCCGAGTGAAGGTAGCCAGGTGACGGCCCGTCCGAGCACACGTGCAGTGTGTCACGCGCTCGTAGGCAGGGGTGAACTGGTGGACACCCCCGTCCTGGAGCGCACAACCCGCCACCAAGTTCGTAGAGAACGAGGGGAGGTGGAGACCTGACAGTGTGCCCGACGGAACCGCAGGACAAGGAAGGACAGTGGAGGAGGTCGCAATGACCGGACCCCCAGAGGGGTCAGCGAGGGAGACAGCAATTGGCCGAGTAAGCTGCTCAAGGGCAGTGCGGTCACGAAAGAAACAGCGAGAAGCACCTGAGTCCAGTGTGAAGGTGTGCAATGCCTCAGTAGCCTCAGTACCAGGGGGCGCAGACTCACGAGCACCTAGAGCAGCAGCCTCACCAGCACCTGGGGCAGCAGACACGCGAGTACCTGGAGCGGCAGCCTCACCAGCACCTGGGGCAGCAGACACACGAGTACCTGGAGCGGCAGCCTCACCAGCACCTAGGGCAACAGACGCACTAGCACCTAGAGCGGCAGCCTCACTGGTCCGAATGCCCGGGTCGGGCGGAACACGCAGGTACTGAGCACCCTCTCCACTAGTAGACAACACATACATGGCAGTGAGAATAGCATC